TAGCACGCTGCTGCTCTGTGGCCTCTTGGATGGAGGGCAGGCTGGCCTAGACAAAGAAAAGGAGAGAAGGAAATAAAAAATGGGGTTTGTGTGGCGTGTGAGTGAACTTCCAAGCCCCACACCTGAGAAAGCCCTTTTTTGTGTCTGTGTGTTTTTCAACGTCCAGCCAGGGTGGATTCTATATGTTCAAAAGTTAAATTTTATTTGGTATCTGGATCCTCTTTCTCTCGTCTTTTTTTTGGACACTAATTGTTTGGACAGTAATTCAGCCAGAGTTTCATTCCATACAGCATTAACCTTGTGAACTCTCAAGCTTCCTCCTTCCGTTATGTATTCAAGATGGACAGTATTTAATATTTATTTGTTATGTATATGTAGGGAGCTGGGTCTCTACACATATGTTGTATGTAGTATGCTTAGGTGTGTGTCATGTAACTGTTTCACTTTCAGAGTGGGCAACTAAACTTCATTTTTGATGTGTGCCGTTGTGCCCACAGTAAAAAAAATGACAATAAAGGTTACTATCCTATCCTATCCTGTCCTATCCTATCCTGTTCTGTCCTTTCTCTCTTCTCTTCTCTTCTTTATTCTATTCTGTCCTTTTTCTCCTCTATCCTATCCTATCCTATCCTATCTGTTGTTAGTGCTGGATGTTGTTTTTTTTTTTGTTTCGCTTTATTTTCCCGTTTTGCATTGGGACTTTTCGTGACATAATAAAAGAAATATACTTTGAACAAAAAACAAAAAAAGGAGGCCAAGGAAGCCGCAATTACAGAGATGTCCTTAAAGGAGCTTTGATTGCCCACCTGACAATTCAGGTAGCCCTTGATTTATGACGGTAACTGGAGCAGGGAAATACGTTGTGATGATGCAACCCAGTTGTCAAGCAAAGCCTTCTCATGTGACCCCCTACCCACCCACCCACCCACCCACCCACCAGAATTTACCTTTAACCAGAACGGCAAGCGATGCTCTTCCTGTTCTGCGGGCGGTTTCCAATCTCCAGGTTGAACTTCCCCGCAAAGCCGGGACAAAACCGGAAGCTGCTTCGTAGTTCTGTAGTACTGAAAATCAAGGGCAGATCAGGAACGACGGGTAAGAGACGGATCGAGCAGATTTCTGATCTTACACGTTCGCTTTGTTATGGGAACCGTCTGCTTCCAATCCGCACCTCTTCTGGTGTCCTTGAAAAGGTTTCGGGATCCCCCAGTCCTCAGCTGAATCGAAGAAGTTTCGTTTTTCCAATTTAACCCACGTGGAAGTAACACCTCCCCAGCCACCCACCCACCCATCCCCTTCCTCTAAAGGCAAGTTGAAATGCAGAGGCAGGCAGCTGCCCAAGTTTCATCCTGGACAAGACGGTTTTCACGGGAACTTACTCGGATGATGTTGTCGGGGACGCGGTTCATGTTACGGTTCTTGATCCGTCCCGTCAGCTGGTGGGCCGTCTTGGTGGTAAGGAGGTACTTACTGATGAGGGGTTTGGGGAAGTCGGTGCCTTCAAAGTGCTTCAAGCCCAGCGCTAACAAGCTGGAACAGGAAGAGGCAAACTAGTCAGGAAGGACTGGGAAGGACGAGGGCTGGGACGGGAGGAACATAGGGAAAAACAGCAAGAGCAATAATACTTATATACTGCTTCGTGGTGCTTTACAGCCCTCTCTAAACGGTTTACAGAGTCAGTGTATTAACCCCCAACAATCTGGGTCCTCATTTTACTTGACTCCTTCTTCTTTGTGGCAGCCCCTCAAATACTGGAACACTGCTGTCATGTCACCCCTAGTCCTTCTCTTCATTAAACTAAGCAAATCACTGCAATTGTTAAGTTAATCAGGGCTAGTGATGATGCTGGCTAGAACGGAACGCCTTGACAAGTAAACCCCGATCAAGGACCCAAAATTTCCATCGCTGTGTGAGGCAGATGTACGTACTTATCTTCCCCTTTGGTGAACACAATCTTATCCCGGGGTGTTTTGGCCTTGAAGGAGCAGGTGGGCAGCAGTTCTGGGTACAGGAAAACTCTCCGGGTGGCTAGGATCCAGGCCACTTGCTTGGGCAAGCAAGCAAAATTGTTCACTAAAAAGATGGACAGGCGAGGAAGAAAGAAGAAAGAAGAAAGAAGAAAGAAGAAAGAAGAGGAGGAGGAGGAGGAGGAGGAGGAGGAGGAGGAGGAGGAGGAAGAGGAAGAGGAAGAGGAAGAGGAAGAGGAAGAGGAAGAGGAAGAAGAAGAAGAAGAAGAAGAAGAAGAAGAAGAAGAAGAAGAAGAAGAAGAAGAAGAAGAAGAAGAAGAAGAAGAAGAAGAAGAAGAAGAAGAAGAAGAAGAAGAAGAAGAAGAAGAAGAAGAANATTCCTTCCCTGGAGATGTTTGCCATGGCTTTTAAAACAGCCTGGCTCCATGTAGGAGCCACGTTCCTTCCTTAGCCCCCCAGTATCTTATTTGAAATTTAAGAGGCGGACAAACTCAACTGTTCTTTTTCACGGCTTTGCGAGGGCTCCACTCGACCTTGACGTGAGCGTGGAAGTCCTTGATCAGCTGCAGAGATTCCTTCAAGTTGAAAGGCTGGAAAGAGGTCTGGAATCCGGGGCTGGAAGGCTGACTGAGGAGCAGGGAGTTCTGGGCAAAGCTCTCCAACTCGGTCTGGGGGGGATGGAAAGAGAGAAACGAGCTGACAATCAGGCCGCAGGATCCGGGAGAGAGTGGAGAGGGATCAAGCGAGGCAGATATTCCCCTCTGGATTCCTTCCTCCGTTTTGCTCCAGTCTGGACTTCAGTCTGAAGATGATGATGAGGAGGAGGAGGAGGAGGAGATGATAAACAAGGAAAAAGAAGAGAAGATGAAGAAGGACAAAGAGAAGGTAGATGAGGAGAAAGAGAAGACAGGATAAGAAGGAGAAGATGAAAGAGGAGCAGAGGAAAGAGGAGAAGGTAGACCAGGAAGAAGAGAAGATGGGGAGAGGAGGAGACAGAGAAGGAGAAGAAAGATGAGGAGGAGGAGGAGGAGAAGGAGGAGATGGAGGAGGAGAAGGAAGAGAAGATGGAGGAGAGGATAGAGGAGAAAAAGGAGATGGGGATGCAAAAGGGGAAGATGGAGGAGAAGATGGAGGAGGAGGAGGATCAGGTGGAGAAGGAGGAGAAGAAGAAGAGGAGAAGCAGACGGAGGGGAAGACAGACAAGAAGGAGAGGAAGGTGGAGAAGAAGAGGATGGAGGACAAGGAGAAGAAGACAGAGGAGAAGGAGGAGATAGAGGAGGAGGCAAAGGCGTTGGAGATAGAGGAAGAGGAGAAGGTGGAGAAGACAAGGAGACAGGAAGAGATGGAGGAGGAAAAGGACAAAAGAGGAGAGGGAGCAGCCCGTTTAAAGCACATGCACGCTCAAGAGTCCGGAATTACCAGGAAGAGCCGGGCAGTGCTGGCCTCGGAGCTCAGGCTGGGGTTGCAACTGGAGAGAAGGTGAACCTGGGTCAGAAGCTGGACGTGCTGCAACGGTTGGGGAGACAAGGTTAGCGGTCAGCCTAGCCCCAGCCCACCCCACATTCCCAAAACCACCTGCCCGGCTTGGAGAGGGCTAGGCTGAGGGGCGTCCTAGGGAATGGGGAGAATCCCTGGGGCCCAGGAAGGGCACCCCCAAAAGGGGAACCGGCCCCGGAGAGACCTGTTGCATCTGCTGCTGCAGCCTCTTCCTCTGCCCGGGGTCCAGCGCCAGGCTCTGGGCCGCCTTCTCGCTCCGCAGCTTGGACCGCTCCATCTCCTGGGGCAGCTTGACGGTGGACTTCTTCACCCGCAGCTGCTCCAGCTGTTCCTTCACCGTCCGGTGCTGCTCGTTCAGCAAGTTGGCCAGGGGCTCCTCGAACCTGCCCCAAGAGGGATTAGGGTGTGGGTTCGGGGGACGCCTGCCTCCATTTGCACCCGGCTCCCCGGCTGTAGCTAGGCAGAGGTGATCTTGCCGCCCGCTTCCAGTACTGCTCGGTCTGGAAGGGGTGGCGAGGCCCAGCCGTTTTTTCTCTACCTCCCTTCCCAAACAGGGTGGCCGTTCCTTCCGGGCCCCCTGCCCCACAGATAAGGAGGCCCCCAGCCCTCCAACAGGCTCCAATCGATCGCAGCACAAAGCCGGGGCAAACCAACGAACTTCAACTCCCAGCATGCCTCGCTAGTAGCAAGGCCTTCTGGGAGTTGAACTTCCATGACATGTGGAAGGCCTTTGGGTGCCCACCTGCACGTGAAGCAACCGGCTTGAGCAGGACTGGCAACTGCTGAAAGATACATAGCATTGAATGACAGGTACTGAATGACAGATAATCCTGTGTTATTCATATTTTCCTGAATCGCTGAATGACAGGCACTGAATAACAGATAGTCTATATTATTATTATTATTATTATTATTATTATTATTATTATTATTATTATTATTATCTAATTATTGAATTACAGGCACTGAATAATGGATAGTCCTGTATTATTATTCTGAATTATTGAATTACAGGTACTGAATAACAAGATAGTCCTGTATTGTTATTATTTTCCTGAATTATTGAATTACAGGTGCTGAATAATATTATTATTATTATTATTTTCCTGAATCACTAAATTACAGGCATTGAATAACAGGTAGTATTATTATTATTATCCTGAATTATTGAATTACAGGTACTGAATAACGGATAGTCTTGTATTATTATTATTATTTTCCTGAATTATTGAATTAGTTAGTCCTCAACGTACAACATTCGTTTGGGACCATTCAAAGGCAATGAAAAAAAGTAACTTATAACCGGTTCTCGAAATACGATCCCCATAGTTCCCTGATCAGAATTCAACTGCCATGTATTTACGACGGTGGCCGTGTCCCAGGGCCATGTGACCGCCATTCCCGACCTCCCCACCCGGCTTCCGGCAAAGAGGAAGCCGGATTCGCTTAACGACAGTGTGATTCGTTTAACAACTGTACAGATTCGCTTCAAAACCCGGGGAGGAAAGGTCGTATGTACACCGAGAGGCTCATGCAACAGAAGTCAAATTCCTTGTGTGTCCAGTCACACACTTGGCCAATAAGGAATATTCCTCTTCCTAAAATTGGGAGCGACTCGCTTAAAAAAAAACGCCTTGCTTAGCGACGGAAATTCTGCTCCTAACGGTGGATGTAAATCCAAAACCTGTAAGTTTTTTCCTCTGGAAGCGTGGAAGAAAAAGAGAAATTTTGCCTTCCCTAAAAGGAGTTCTAGTCCCACCTCAGCCTGTTTGAAGGAAACACGTCTGTTCAGACAATCGCAAACACAGGAAGAGGTGAGGCAGGTAAGGCTGTCCTTACCTGAGCACCTGGGGGGTATTAAAATTGGGCCGGGCCTCAGCGGCGCCATCTTCGTCCTCCTGTCCGTCGTCCTCTATGTTGGGGAAGCCGATTTCATCCTGAAACTGAGTTTTGGATCATGGAGATTACCAGCGGGCCTCTTGTAAACTCAAGGGAAGGTTCCTTGAGGACTAGCAACCTGCCTGGATTCCTTCCAAAGGAGAGCCAGGAAGACTCACCGTTTCAAACAGTTCCTCCATCAGCTCGTTGACTTCTTTTTCTGCAGGGCACAAAACACACACACACAGAGAGAGAGAGAGAGTGAGTCGGTCAAATCCCCGATCTTCTGGCTTCTCGGCCTTAAAAACACCTTAAAAGTTGCTGAAAGACTTTTTGAAGTTTTGACGGCTTTAGAAACGGGCGTTTTATGATCCTGTCCTCAAAGTTACAACTGCACGCGCCCCCCCCCCGCCCAGTCCCATGATCCTGTATTAGGTGCTTGGCAACGGGCTAGCCTTCAGGGGCTGCCCCAAAGAAGAAGGGGGTCCACCTCTTCTCCAAAGCGCCTGAGGTCAGGACAAGAAGCAACGGACGGAAACTAAGCAAGGAGAGAAGCAACCTAGAACTAAGGAGGAATTTCCTGACAGTGAGAACAATTAATCAGTGGAACCACCTGCCTCCAGAAGTTGTGGGTGCTCCATCACTGGAGGTTTTTAAGAAGAGGCTGAACAACCATTGGTCAGAATTGGGATAGGATTTCCTACTTGAGCAGGGGGTTGGACTAGATGACCTCCAAGGTCCCTTCCAACTATTCTATTATTCTATTCTATTCTATTTCATATTCTATTCTATTCTATTCTAATCTATTTCATATTCTATTCTATTCTAATCTAATTCTATTCTATTTCATATTCTGTTCTATTCTAATCTAATTCTATTCTATTTCATATTCTATTTCATATTCTATTCTATTCTATTTCATATTCTATTCTATTCTATTCTAATCTATTTCATATTCTATTCTATTCTAATCTAATTCTATTCTATTTCATATTCTATTCTATTCTAATCTAATTCTATTCTATTTCATATTCTATTTCATATTCTATTCTATTCTATTTCATATTCTATTCTATTCTATTCTATTCTATTCTATTCTATTCTATTCTTCTATTCTATATTCTATTCTATTATTCCATATTCTGTTCTATTCTATTCTATTCCTTACTATTCCTTATTCTATTCTATTATTTCATATTCTATTCTATTCTATTCTATTCTATTCATTTTCTACAACCTGTAGAAAAAGCGGGACGTACTTGTGATCCTGACGGCACGGTCATTCCTGAAGTCTTCCGTGTCCGGTTCGTCCAGATCTTCCAAGAAATTGTATTCGGGGTCATCATCGTCATCATCGGCTTCATCTGGAAGAGAAAAAGGGGTCTATCGTCACGAGAGGATTCCTCGTGACGATGCTTCGCAAAACGACCAACAAGCCACGGCCCGCTATCAGGCTGTGGACCCTAGGTTGGAGACCTCTTTCCAAACCCAAAGTCGAATTCAGACAACCCTCCTTGCCTTCGTTTTCCACGTCGGCGTTCATCAAGCCGCCCAGCCACCTCTTCCACTCCTCGTCGTCTGCTGTGTTGGGGTCGTACATGTCCGGCGTGATGTCCGGAGCGCGAAGCTCGGCCTCCAACTGACCGAGAGGCACGTCCTTCAGCGGCCGCTTGGAGCGCGTGCGGAAGGC